GCAACAGAAGCTGAAAGTATATTACAATAATCTATCAAATACACTTTTTCTAAACATTCAAAGTTCAGAAAATTCGATTTATTGCCTCAAATTAACTTGAGTATTCATTTATAATACTCAAGTTATATTTAAAGTATCCAAAGTATATTTAAAGTATCAAAGTTATATTGGAGTATCCAAAATGATACTTGCATAGGACAGCCTAACACTGGATTAGAACATGAGAAGCTTATTCTTAAGACAACTACACTCTGCCAAAAAGAAAATTTTTTAAATAAAAAAAAAAATCTGAAGACTTTCGGATTTTATATTAAATACGCCCAAAGGGACTTTTAACGTTTTGTGTGTTACCTTTATTTATTAAATATTATGTTGTTCGCCCTTAAACCATAAAATTCAACAACAATATCACAAAATATTTAAAAAGAGCATATCTTTAGAGTTTCCGATACTCAATCCAGCTCTCCGGAGATAAATTTTTTTTGTATAGTGTTGCCATCCCTCACATTGAAATTGTTAAGCTTGTTAATCAAAAATTCGTTGAAATTGTTAAGCTTGTTAATCAAAAACTTTTACAAAATAATAAAAAATTCCATATTTGGGCTTTCAGATGCCCATATTCGAGTGGAGGATTACGTTATTCAAAATTTGATCTCTCTAGGCGCCGTTGTTTTTTCACAACGTGAGAAACATACTGACATGCATGCTGATTCTTCATTATTTAATTTCTCTAAATATAACGCAGGGCTGTAATATTTGGTGGCAACTATTTGAAAAGTGAAACGCCGTTTTAGATTGGAAAACGTAAAATGCCAAAACGAAATTAAGAGCCCTTCTGGACAAATTGCCCCTTTGGGGTAAAAAGGGGGGGAGTTCTATATCTCCCGTTCTACTAAGCCTATTGGCGAAATTTAATTTACGTTTTTCATGTCTGGACTTAAGTTATAAATTAGATTTATATATAGCATTGCTCTGACATAGGTATTTTACACAAAATCGGACTTTTTCTGAAATGACATACCATTTTTTTTTTCATATTTCGATTCTAAGGCGCACATTATGCCTAAATATTAAATTTTGTAAAATTTCGTGAGAAATTTAAAAATTTATCTTGGCGCCTTTTTTACATTGTGCTGAGAATAATTCACTTAGTGAAATTCTTAATTTATGGTAACCTTTTTCCATTCCCTTTCGTTGTGCACAAACGGAAAAAGGTTCTTCACTCATTCTTTTAAAAAAATTTGATAAAGGTGCGTCCACATTTGGTGTTAATATCGCTTATGACAAATATGCCAAAATTCCAAAGCACTCTAATATATACATTCATGTATATCTAGGGAAATTTCGGATAAAAACTCTAATTTCTGCGCGTGTGACTAGAACTACTTTTAGGTGATGGTATAAATTTTATAGGTTATGATTAAAAAATGTTTCGAAAAATCTATAAAAATTACCAAAAAGTGCAAATTTTATAAATAAATCTGAAAATATCTCCAAATTTTATTTGGTTTGAACCTAAATTTCTAGAAGAGAAAGAAGGAATCAAGTAAGTTTAATAAAAAAAAAGAGATATTAATAAATGTATACCAAATTCAACTAAAATTCAGAAGCTAAAATTTTGATAGGTAGATATTCTAAAAGCTAGTCTTGCGATTTTTACACAACGAGGATTTTTTATATAATCGTAGAATCGAAACATGGAAAAATACCGGAATGTTACTTAAAGAATTCGATTTTGTGTCAAACATTTATGTTAGAGCAGTGCTGTATGTCGATTGAATATATATTCTAAGTTGCACTTTCGAACATGAAAAATGTAAGTTAAATTTCCTCAACTGGAACAGTAGAAAAGGAGATCTAGAACTGTCCCTTTATAATTGATGTGCATCTGAATAGTACCTAATAAATAGAATAGAATACTCCCCGTAGTCTGCTTCAAACAACTGAAGCAATTAAAATATGAAACACTGAAATACACTTTATAACTGTAAAAAGGAAATAAATATTAAACATCACCTATACAAAAGAGATGCTAAAGTTAAACCAAATTTAAGTTGAACTTGAATATTAACAAACACCAGCCGCAAATATTAGATCTGAACAGAATTCTGCTATCGTCTTTACTAAGCAAGTATATAAACATTAATATGTGCCAAAAATTAATAATGTTAGATGCTTACCTTATGTAAAGCTGTTATCCCATCAAAAGTTTGGGTGTTGATATCAGTACCTTGGCTTAATAAGCGTTCTAGTTCTTCATAGTCACTTGTAGCACATGAAGCTAAAAAAACATATCTGTCACTAAATTTTGCTTTGCTCTTCTTATGTACTGTAGGTGATACACGATTTGTCTCTGAATCTTCCCATCTCTTAAGCTGATTTGCCCTAAGGAACAGAACACTCTTCGATTGCACTTCGTTAGCCATGTAGACGATTTAGAATAACATAAATACTCAAACGCTATTTTAATTTTCCACAGATGACCAGTTACAAAACGAATAATTCTCGATATATAGCAGTATAAGATAACCAAATAGATTTTCTTCTTAGTTGAGTACTTTGTCCATAAGGAACAATCTTTGTTTTAACAAGTTGAGTAATAAAAGGAATGCATAGAATTGTGACTTTTTTAAAAAATATATAATTTCAATTTATAAACTATAAATTATGCAACTGAGTGCCAAACTGATCAATTAAATCATATCCAGAGCAATGTTGAAGTTTTTTATTCATAAATATGTATATTTTTAACCTAGTAAACCTATGGGTGATTTATGTTGCGTGACACTAAATATATAGCCTTGCTTTTCCCTCAAATATACTAATTTAAATCACGGGAAAATTTTGTAATTAATTACTTTTTAAAAATTTTTGAAAATATTTTTTTTAAACCCTTGGAGGAAAGTTAATTTTCTCTCGAATACTTAAAAATTTTTAATCTTCAATTATCCTTTCTAGAATAAATTTGATTCAGTTTTACAAAATTGTTCGTAGGATTCATTAGATTCTAACAACTATTTCCTGCCACAAAGAAGTGAAATTCTTTAGAAAAGTGCCAAAAAAATTCCACGTTAAAGCATTAAACGTCTTAACGTCTTCCTAAAGCATCAAACTACTCAACTTTAGAAAATTTTGAATAGCAGTTTTACAGAAAGAAAGAAAGAAAAAAAAAAAAAAAAGAAAAGAAAGTAACAATAATTAAAATATAAAAGGAAAATGCATCCCAACTTACATTTTCATTTCGAGGTTCTTTTACTATGTTCATATTCAAAATTAAAAAAATATCCTAAAAACTTCTAAGTTATGTAACATTGCTTAATTTCCTGGCTTTCTATTAACTTAATGATTATTGGCTATTTGTGATGTAGCTAATAGACTGGACGTTCTGCGTAAGCGTTGTTTAGGAGTATCTCTCTTTACACTTCTTTTAAGTATCTATGCCTTATAAGAATTAATTTTTAATTGGAGTTTTGCAATCTAAATGAGAATTATTCATTTTTCATGCAGCTGAACCCAGCTGAAGTGGAATTGTGTGAATGACTAGTGAATTTATACCTATTTTTTAACAAATTTCGATCATTACAAAATTTAATATAATTTCTGTTTGCCTCATTGAAGTGTAAAATAGAAATATATTTTTAATAGCACATTTTCAGAATAAGATCAGTGAAAGAATAATTTAGAATACTTCAGTATTTTCTGTAATAATATTAGCATTCTGACGAGTTCGATACCTATCAAAATACCCTATTTCAGCACGTATTTTTTTTCCTTATTTTTTTACCGTCAGATGCTTAAAATTTCAAAAATATTCCATTAAATTTCTCTTTTTCAATTCGTTTTAAAATAGATCGCTTTACGGAGTGATTGTTTTCGTCTTACTAACAAAAACAAACCCTCACAAACTACCTGCGAAGGTTGTGCCGAAACCATTCCTTCTAAATGTTGATATTTATGCCAGCCTGATACAAGAACCAACCAAGCACAGCAAAGAAAACATGAATTGACATTCAGACCTTGATTTCGCTGATGCACATTCACCTTTTCTAGTTGTTTGCAGATGATTTGAGTTCTAAGGACTAGGAGAGACAACAGTAAGAGCGGGCGAAATTCAAGTTACAGGAAAATAGTAGTTAAGATATCTTACTATACTATATATTGCAATGTTGGTATTACTACGTGTTCTTATTGGAATGTAGTTTTTTTTTTTTTTTTTTTTTTTTTGAAAGAAATAATATTGCGACAGTTACTTAGAGTTTATTCTTGAATTCTTTTTTCTTAGTTATAGCTCATTTATTATATTCTCACTGTAAGCATATCCTTCCGAAATTAAATTATTCACATAATTTTTCTCTCTCAACTTTCGGACGTTGGAATTAGAAAAAAAAAGGGGGGGAGTTGAGAGAGGAAATACAGTAAGTAATGGAACTCATAGCTTCGAAGATTTCACTTTTGCATTTACTCAAAGTATTTCGTTTAATCTATTTCTTAACGATTGACAAAATTTTGATTCTATGACTAAATAGAAACAATTTTCATATTTTTTATTTTATTTTTGTTTGTTTAATTATTTATTATTAAAAGAAAAATAACACAAAGATGTTTTCTTTTACGGATGGAATGGAAACGCAGATGAAGGTAGACCCCGGTATCTTAAACGATATAAATGATTTTAACGGTTAATTAATTATTTTTTCGTTAAAACTCGCAATTTTTAGACTATTGTAAAATATAACTTCTAATTGTAAATGAGTAAATAAATGTTATATTGGGTATAGGTCGGGCGCTGAGCGTCCGCTGCTCAGTGAGCTCTAAATGAAAGTTTATTATGGGGTTATCAGATCTAACGATGCCTGAGACTACAAGAAACTTTTCTCAGAATGAGCGCCTCTTTCTTCTACAGGTGGAAGTTTCCTAACCGAAACACGTTTGCGGGAACCAATGTCCCGGGCCAGTGTCCAGTGTTCTATGACGGGCATTTTACAATGGAGGTGAAAAGTTTTGCTTGTGTATCTCATAGTTTTTTCCCAAAAAACTGGTTTTCCGTTAAGCCAACCAATCAGATATCCCGATAATGAAAATTCGCAGCTAAGTTTCTTTTCGACGCCCTGTTGAAGGTAGGTATTAGATGTGATACCAGTTTTAGAGGCCACTGTTGGCGCCCAGTGCGTTCAAAATTTTTGCAACCTCTAAATTCTGCTCGCGCAGCATTCTTCGTCTCTGGCAGGGTCTGTGGTTCTTGACGAATGCCGAAGATTGAGTGCGATTAAGAAGTTCCTGACGATCATGGAAAATAAATCAGGGAAGGGAGAAAAAAAAAAAGGGTAAGATTTTCAGTTAAGCTTATCATTCAAAAATGGGAGGCAAATTTATTGGATTTAGTAGCCTTTTAAATAAGTTATTGCATACCTGAATGCAGATGTGTGTAATGGAGGTGTAAGTATTTTTAATAGCATTTAAATATTATATAGTTATATGTAAAACACAGTTAATTGCATAAATATAAATGATTCATTATTTTGCATTTCACTATTTTTATTAGTACTTTAGTTGCAAAATTATAGGTGATACATTTTTGATGACATAATTTATTACTCCAGTTATATGTATAAATTGACAGTGATACATACTAAAAAAGAATATGGAGAAAAGGTGAAATAAGTTACCATACAGATACTATGAGTTTGTTTAAAGAATATACATGGGTACTGATGCATGGATGCAAGCACGTACAAGTGTTTATATTTAATATTTACTTATGTACTGTTGTCTGCAAGTCAAAATTAATTGCATGAATACAGTCAAGTCAAAATTAATTGCATTATTCTTCATTATTTCGTAACTTTAAAATGGGCATCGCAAGCCCATATTTCTTTTATTTTTGCATCTTTTGTAACTATCGTAACATCTGTTGAAATTCCAATTTGTGCTGCTTGCTAGTGCATATGGATAAAAAATACTTTGAACTGTAGTTGACCATACCAGTCACCAAGTGGTTAAAACTGATGAATACTAATAGTTGAGTTCAAACCCAGGCTAATGACTTTGTTGTATGGGTGTTTTTTGTGCTTTACCTCATGTGCAACATGAGAAGGAGTCAGTTTCCCTTGGAAAATCCTCCGCAAAGGTACCCTATCTCTTAAGAAGATACTCCTTGTGTGCTTTCCATATTCAAGTAACCTAACATAATATTGAACAGTTTCTACGTAGGCAAGAGAAATTAGTTTGGTGTAGTGAGGATCCATATTGCAAGCAAAAAAAGTAACAGGCCTGTGATCTTGAAAATCCTATACTTATGTGGTATAATTTACAAAATGCAGTTAATTGCAATATTTTATTTATCAATTGTTTATTTAACTGCTGTGATTTATAAGCATGTATTGATACAGAGGAATTCTAAGTACAAATGATTATGATGAAATACCCACCTGTTTATACTCCCATATAACTGTGATGGAGTCATGTGCTAATAGTTAAACCTCTTTTTTGCTGAGTAACAGTGTTGCCAAAATCAACACCTTGGTACATTTGCATTTTTTTGGTTTTTGTTTTATTATAAATTTTGCCCACTGATAAAATCGTTGAATGGTGATAATTCAACTCAGATTCAAATTATAGTAAATGGGTTGGTTACCTAATTGTTTTTGTGGTTTTCGCCATATGTAACATAAGTATGAACCAGTTTCTTAAAGAAAGCCCTAGTTTCCATGGAGTGTAGCTGTTTAGTATTTGTTATATATTTTATTTATTAACTTATTTAAAAAGTCATGTTTATTAAAAACAAAATTTCTTCAGTGCTTGTCATATAAGTTTGCATATTTTTTTTGTTTGTAGCTAGTTCAAATAATTTTAGAAGGGATTTTTGATTTTAAAATACTTGATAGGCCAAATTTAATATGTAAAAGTCTTTTAAACATTAAATAATGTATGAATAGAAAATTTGTTTCCTTTCCAGGTGGATCCAAGATTTGTTTTGAAAATTTGTAACCAATAATTTATAGATATTATGTAATTAAACCCAATCATACTGTGGGCTCACCAGTAGCTGAATGTATAAGACTGCTGAACTATGATAGCTCCTGGTAAATGGTAGTTCCTGGTAAAAATGGTCAGTTATGTGGCTATTTTCATGGTTTTTCACTACATCAAAGCTAAGTGATGCTCAAGGGCCTGCTAGTGTGAAAGTATTATTTTGTGTTTTCTCCGTCAAATTTCTATTGACCGCAAGATGGCGCTACTCTTCTGCTACACTTTGTGATGTTTATAATGAACAGAAATGTACCAGAAACAGATATTGTCTTGTTATATGCAAAATTTAAAAACAATCTGTAGTAGTCAGAAATTATACATTTCTTTTTAATAAAAGTATTTTTATTTAGAAAGAAAGCATGAAATTTCAACTTAACCCACTCTTTTTTTTTTAATACATATAAACGCCAGCTACTTGATCCCAATTTTAATTCCTTCTTGCATTTATATATATGCAATTTTGAACTGTACTTATTAGAGCTATTTATTCTAATTTAAAGCATATGTTTTACTTTTCAGTTGTTTGTATAGTAGGAAGTTAGCAGATAGCTTTTGAACGTATACTATTTCAGCACAAAATTTTCATCATATTCCCATCAGTTGTCCTGTGCAAAGAAATAATTTACTGCCTCTATTAAATATGTAACTAACATATTAATAAATTATGATATAAAATATGCATATCTGTTTCTAATACATACCAGAAAAAGTATTACTAAAAGAAATTTAATTGTAGGTACTAAAGACTTTTTTCTTTTTTTAATTATTATTGAATTGTTTTGAGGAAGTATTAAAAAAAATAAAAGCTTTAATAATGCAGATTTAGAGCTGTGATGAGTAAATGCAACATTACAGATGTTCAAATAAGGCTAAACTTGTTAGGCAAAAAAAGATCAAATCTTATTTGGCACAGAATTTGAGTAAAACTCAAAACTAAATTTTTTTTTTTTTTTTTTTTTGCCTAATTTTAATATTACACTGGTGTGTTTTTCTTCCAACTACATCTGTGTTTTAGATTTGATTAGTGTATCATTAAAAAATTAGAAATTAAATGTATTCCAACAATTTACATTTTCAATGTTGCAGAATCTTGAACTGTTCCTATGAAAATCATGAAATTGTTGATACAGCTGTTCATTAAATCAAACATTATGCTTTTCTCAGTTTGTTATACAGAAGAGAGACAGACATAGATATAAAATATGTTTCAAAATCACAACAAAGCAACATAATAACTCTTATAATCACAATATACCCTTAAGAAAACATTTAGTTTTGTATATCAAGTGCAAAATTTAAAAACTAGGCTGATTATAAATAATATAACCATCACACATGCCCACAATATAAGTAGAATGAGGTATATACACAGTTTTAGTAAGATGTGCATATAAAGTTAGGCAAAAAAGCAAGCTTATTAACCTTCTAAAACCGTGCCAAAATTCTCATAATATAGCCTTCAGACTGGCGCAATCCGAAACAGTTTTGCCCCCCTCTTTGACATTTTCCTAATGAGAAAAGTCGATAGTCCCCTCCATGGATGCAGTAAAATTTACGTTTGTCGGACGCTGTCCCATAGTTAGATGGGTTGCTAAATTTGAGATTTTTTCGATGATTATTTTGCTTTCATTTAAATAAAGATCTAAATAAGCATCCAGTGCACTATTTATTTAGAAAAAATGTATGCAATGTGTATATTTCATTTACTATTTCTGATCAATCTCGGCAATAATTTGTGAATTTTATAACTTTGTTTTCACACTTCATTTATATTCTCGTATTTTCGTATTAGAAATTAGAAAACAAGAACAAAATTTTACAAAATATAATAAATACGAACTAGCTTTGTAAGTCTGCAGGCTGGAATGTGATTTTTAATAACATATTTTCATTAACAAAATAATGGTAGTGACTAATTTAATGAAATAATAATGATAAATTCATTAATAATATTTATTACTATTAGATGATTAGAATGAGATTCTATACAATTAGATTTTGAGATGAACTTATAGCAATAATAAAGCTTTACATCAGAGAGCTTTAAATCTGCTTTTTTTTTTTGATGATAATTTGTTATAATAATATAAAAAAGAAAATCCAAGATACATTGGTTGCGTTTCATCATTTAACTTTAACAAATATTACATTGGACTATCAGGCAAAGGAGGTATATCTATAACGAGAATTTTTCTTTGTAAAATTGGGCCCACCAACGGCTGAGTGGTAAAGTCGCTGAATACTGGCAGTTCGGTCCGAGGTTTGAATCCCGCAAACGGGCTGGCTGCATGGGTGTTTTCATGGTTTTCCCCATGTGTAACGTGTATACAAGCCAGTTTACGTTAGAAAGTCCTCCTCAAAGGCATCCCTTTCCTTAGGCAGATAGCCCTAGTGTGCTTTGCCATAATTAAATACACCACCACATCTCTTTATAGAATTGGCTTTTGTTTATGTTAGCAGAGAAAAAAAATCTGTGACCTATACATGTAATCATCAAAAGTATTTTTCAGAAGTTTTAAATGTTCATGAAGAATTAATTATACGTCAATTTCTTTCTCATAGGTAAAAATTTCGTCTAAAACCATTGTTATATCCAAAGGTTGAAGTCTATTTCATTTTCGACGAATATTCTATTTGCACATAATATATTTTCTAATTTATTATAGAAAGAGTAATCTTTCACGTTTTCAAAAGAGTAAGGACATACTGGGTGTTGAGTAAATCTGTTTTTCATATTTCTTTCAGTAATGAAAACGATTACCCTGGAATATTTTCAAAGCAAAATTAAGAAAACTGTTTACGACAAATTTTGCATAAAGTATCTTCTTGTGTATTTTTTTAATTTAAAGTGTGAAATTTTCTCTTTGAAAAAATAAAAAATCATGAACGGAACAAAATTAATTCATGAGAAATAACTTTGAAATGCAATAATTCCATTCGTAATATGAAAATAGTGGAGATAAAAGTGCAATACAGTTTATTTATTCACAAATAATCCCCTCATATGCGTAATTTATGTACTGTCGAATGAGAAACATAGGTTAGTAAATTAAACCGGTTATTTCGATACTTTTCCTTTATAAATTTTTTTACGGGTCCTTCAGTAGAGAGGTAAAGGTGGCTGAACACTTGTAGCTCGCTTGGGTTTGAATCGCGGATAAAGGGTTGGATTCATGGTTTTTGTGTAACGTAAATGCAAGCCAGCTTCTCTTAGAAAGTCCTCCGCGAAGACATAACTCCCCTTATACAGGTAATCGTTGGGTGCTTTGATGTAATTCAGTAAGCGAACAAATTA